TTCCCCCCCCCGCGCCCCTCCGGCGTTGGCAAGGGGTGGGAGGGAAACGGGGCGGGGCCGCCCCGGGCTGGGGCGCTCGGGTCCCGGGGGGGGGGGGGGGGGGGGGGTACTCAACAAATGTTTATACGGGGAGGCTCCCCCCCGATCCCCTTCAAACGTCTCCACACATGTACAGGCGTAATACGCGCGCCGAGAAAGCTAATCAAGTATTATTACTCATAATAAAGAAAGTATATTTTAAAAGTCATGGAATTGGTGTTGTAACGGTGTACCGCGTGTACCATCTATTTGCTTAAAACAAGGTCTCTGTCCATTAAGTTAAGCGCATACGTGAAACCAAAACCAAACGAATTAAATTAACTTAATTTTCATCCTTTTGATGTTAGTAACCCGCTTAAAATGCTTTTTGGAAGTTAACTTTTAAAATGAGCGTCCAATTCCCAAACTCACTGGTACTAAACCACAAAATTATGCAGACAGCGCCTTCCTTCATAGGTTTGTGGGGTTTGCGCAAAAGTCTGAATACCAGAAAAAATCCGCGATCTTAAAATTAACCAGCGATCGGTGAAAACATGCGATTACAAATTAATTAGAATTTTAGATGTTCTTGGGTTGTGGCATCCTGGTCAAGGCCCGATTGCGCAATGTCATCCTTACTTATTTGATTCATTTCATTTTTATTTTACAGGGTGTCCCAAAAGTTCATTCCTCTAATTTCATGCACTATAACTTTTGATCAAAACTTTATTTTTACGTGAATTTTCTAGAAGATTGTTACTTTTCCATCGAGTGCATGTATTCAGAATTTCAGTAACTGGAATGCCCTTTTTTTTCAAGTTTTTTTTTTATCATTTTCTATAACCGTTGCGGCATGGAGTGGGATACAGCGTGTAGACCCACAGATGATCCATTTTGAGCTTTTTTATCACCTGGTGCGTAGGAGCCAGTACAACCCCCAAACAATATTTGTTTAGTTTAGGCAGCTGAAAAAAAAAACATATTTTGGGTATTTACCCGAGAAAGATAATCATCCTGGGCCCCTTCTATAGCAAGGCCTTTGTGCTTCTTTACAAATTTGAGACGAGCAGGGCGTTACTTGGTAGACTAAGCTAAGAGCTTCTTCTTTTTGCTATCTCAGCGGCCTCTAATTTTAAACATTCGCTTTTCTTTCTGCAGTCGGCTTGCTAACTACGTGAGAGCTTTCTCGTCGAGTCTCCTATTTTGTATCTAACCTTTTAAAAACTATTTTAACTGCTATATTTAGGACTTTTGGTATTCCTCTTCGTTTCTTGCCTTCAAAACCTCCATTTCTCCATGATCATTTTACCAGCCAACATTCGGATTTTTCCAGTTTTTTAGCTGTTTCTACAACAGATAAGCCAGTAAATCGAAGTATACATGCTTATATTCTCACGTAGCTGAACGTTTTTGCGTTAAGGGGGTTTATCTTTCGTGATATTCACAAAAAAAACAAGGAAGGAGTTCGACCAATTCGGGCTATAAAATACAAAAAATATGTGGCTGGAAAATATGCTCGCGAAAGCGCACCTTTGGCGCGGAACTATACATATCGAATATTCGAGTCAAAAGATGGCACAACAAGTATGAAAATAGTGAATTAGATTGAAAGACACAACTTTTGACTGAACGATTTGCTTAACAAGTCCAATCGTACTGAAATTCAGACTTATAAAGTGGAGGAACGAACTTTTGGGTCACCCAAGTCAATTTCTAATAGAAAGGTAGATTAGGACTTCGGATAAAGGTAGAAATTATTGTAACATCTAAAAGCATTTCATGTTATGTAGTAAAAAAAACTGGATACTGAAAAGCTGACGTTCAGGGATTCTACTGTGCATGAAGCAAACAATGGTCAGTTATGCGTACACGTTATGAGTAAGGCAAGCAAGCTACCTTACCGATAATATACGTAACAGTCAAACAATTTCTCTTAATACACCGGTACCTTGATCTGGACAGCTTAAACTTAACCCAGTGGACTAAAATTGCAACCATACGCTTAACATTCTAAAGCCTGAATACTGTAATTCGTTGCTATATAATGGTTTGCCTCAAAGCCCATGAT